GGGAAATTAATTAATTGACTTATTAAAATTAATAAGTTAACACATATGTATATACATACATATATATGTACCAAAAATGTGCATCACAGCCCTTTTTTGATAAATACCTTTTTGTTTAAAAATATGTAGAATTACTTGTTTCAATATTGATACAAAATGAATAAAACTTCAAGTGTGGATTAAAATGTAATACTGTAAACTTATGCACTTTATTAATAAGTAACGAAGTATGGAATTGTAGCTAGTTAGTTCAGCTTCAGCTTCTAATATTTGAATTGCTCAATTAATTAAAATTATTTAGCATCAACAGCAACATATCAAAAAATGGTACCGTTACTTCTGAAACTAAATTTAATTCCAATATTAGGTAAGTAACCCTTTCCTCTCTATATCCTCTTAACCCAAAAGAAACAAAATTTTGTAAATATAGAAACAAAAAATTGCACTTCACTGATTGCCCTTTCGTCTCGTTCGCAAAATAGAAAATTGTCAACATATAAATCACACAAGCACCCAAACTAGCAATATGAATAAAAAATAAAGCAACAATTTCTATACTATATCACACACCTCCTCATACGCACATTCAACAGCTCTATCGTGTGTTTCGAACACTTAAGATCATTGTGTTATACACAGCTTTTGTTTGTCTTAATTGTTCTACAATTCAAAGCTGATTGTGCTTTTAGCTGGCTACTCGAGCTGGCTACCATGAAATCAAAGGGAATAATTTGTTCTGCATTCGCAATATGTATATTATTTGTCTGTGTATATTATTTGTCAATCAAAACATTTCGTTCGTAAAGTCATATCAATTTCTCATAATGTCAAAATTAAATCGGATGTGCGTTATTAAAAGTTGTAAAAACTTTAATAAAAATAATACAGGATTGAAATATTTTAGATTTCCTTAAAATAAAGTGAATTTAAAAAAGTGGTGCGGTAACATAGGCATTTCTATATTAAACGTTCAATGTTGTAAACTAATCTGTGAGCTTCATTTCGAAAATGAACATATTGGAAGCAAAAAGCTTTTGAAAAATGCAATTCCAACATTAAATTTTGGTTAATACATTTTTTAAACTTTAGTTGTTTCTTAATTAATGGCACTCAAAATTTTTATATGTTCTTCAACATATGTGTAGATCATCCAATTACTCATAGCGTTATATCAACATCAAAAATACGTTATACCAAATGTTGTCTGCAGAATTGTGAAAGTACATCTGCGACAACTTCAATATATCGTTTTCCTTAGAATGATGAAAGAAAAAAGTTTTGGTTTTCTTTATGCAATATTGAAAACGCTAAAAAAGAAGTCCTTATTTGTAGTAAACATTTCAAGAAAAACGATATTGTTAATAAAAAATTAAGAGCAGAAGCGGTACCTTCTATGGATTTGCCTGCAGGAGGTGAGGTGCCGTATGAAATTGAATCTGCTTCAACGGATGATGACATTACGATGACAGAATTTAAGCAGTACTCAAAATTTGCAGGTAATCGATGCTATGAAACTAGTGAAAAAGAAAATGTATCATTAGCTAATTGTTATATTTTTGCCGAAAAGGAAAAATGGTATCAGAGAAAAATATCGGAATATGAGAAAGAAATATTGTTATTAAAAAAATAAAAATTTGAATCTCAAAAATGATATTACAAAATTGTCTAATATTGGTATTGTCCCTGTAAATGATGGATCAAATTATGCAAAAGTTTTTGCTAAAATGATTGTAAGCCAAGCATATATATACACAGATGAAGAAAAGGAAGTTGTCAGCAATATAATCAACAAATCGACAACCTGTTATAATTTTATGCGACACGAACTAAGATTCAAGCTTCCGTGTTTAGAGTCCTGTCGACAATGGAAAATATTGAAAAAGCGTACCACTGGTATTGATCCAGAAGTTGTGCGAAATTTAAAATCATGGTAATTTTTGATGAAATAACCATAAGAGCAGAACTGCAATACGATCAATATAGTGATAAAATATCAGGATTTGTAGATAAAGGGAATGGTGATCGGGAATCCGTTATTGCAAACAAGTGCTTATGTGTAATGATTAAAGGCATATGCAATAAATGGAAGTACTTTTTGTCACATTACATCATTAAAGATTCAGCAGGAGGTAATTTTGCAATTCAGAAATATTTTCAAAAGATATATTTTAAATTTTTTAATTTCAACAGTAATAATATTAAAAAAATTTTGTTTGAAAATCTTGAGTGTTGCCAACAATTAGGATTAAGAGTTAAGTTAATTATATGTGATCAAGGACAAAGCAATATTCAACTATTTCGTTCATTAGATTTAAGTGAGCAAAAGCCATATTTTATATTCGGTGACCAAAAAATATTTGGGATGTTTGACTATTGTCATTTATTAAAATCAGTTCGAAATATTTTTCTCAAACATGACATCATGACTTCCGATGACATGGCATCCTTTAAAATCTTAGAAAAAATGTATTCAGTTGACTAAACCAACATTAATTTTAAGTTCTGTCCGAAACTCAAATTTGAGCATTTATACCCCAATAACTTTCAAAAAATGAGCGTCCGAAAAGCTGCTCAACTTTTAAGTAGATCAGTTGCAGCTGGTATTAATTTCGTACAGCAATCCGGAATATTTAAAAGTGACCCTTTTTTAAAAAATACAGCACAGCCAATAAAATTATTCATCAGAAAAGTTAATGACATTTTTGACGAAATTAATTGCAAAATTTTAAATGATTTAGATCCCCTTAAACGTTCTCTATTCCGTGATTCTAATGAAAAAATCGATCGCATTCGAAATTTCATAATGTAACTTAAGTCTTTCGAATGTGATAATATGTCATACATTAAGTGTATAAATGGATTTATCTTAACCTTGACATCGATAATTGAGATTGTAAATGAAATTTTTCCTGAAAACTCAGAAGTGCAAATTATTTTTATTGGAAAAATGAATCAAGATGCGATTGAAAATTTATTTTGTAAGGTTAGACCTATGTCAGGTTTGAACGTCCATCCTTCAGCACATGAACTGCAATACATATTTGCAAAAATTGTAACTATAAAATTATTGCAATCCCAACTTTCAATAAAGAATAAAAATTGTGAGGACGATAACGATATAATGCTGGAATGGCAGTCAGCGCATTCACTTGGTGTTAAAGATCAGCAACAGCATGATTCTATTATTGATAATATGACTGTTCCTAGTGAAGAAAATCAGGATAGAAATTTTAGCTAGATTTGGGTAACCGAAGACAATAGTTTCAGACAATGGTACTCAATTTGTGAGTCATCAATTTCAACAGTTTTTAGCGGAAAATGGTATTAATCATACATGAAGCATATATGAAGTTTGTGGATACTTTAAAGCAAGCAATCAAAAAGTTAAATGGGAAGGGTGTAACTGCTGAAAATCTTCAAATGTTTCTAAAAGTTTACCGATTAACTCCGAACAAGCAAAATGAGGACAGTAAATCGCCAGCTGAAGTTTTACTAAGAAGAAATATCCGTGTTAAACTTGACTTGATTAAACTAACGCTGGTGTCTTTACCAGACCAAAATGCCAAGCTTAAAAACAAGTGCGATACACAACTCAAAACGAAAGCGCAGTTCGACAAAAGGCACTGTGCAAAGCCAAAGTTTTACGAAAGACACGAGCTCGTTTATGTCAATATACATATATAAAAACAAACACTTTGAATGGACAAAAGGAAAAATAATCGAACGCATAGGTAACGTCATTTACAATGTTCGCTTACAAAATGGCAAACTCATTCGTGCACATGCCAACCAAATTCGTAACCGAAAAGATCAAGAAAATGAGTTATCATCAGAAATACGTACTTCCGAAGATATCGCCAACGAAAAGTGTTTAGCTAATGCATTTGGCCTCTACGAAACAACACCTAAAGATGTGGTCGAAATAACTAACAAAAACAATGTTTCGACTCCAGCTCAATCTTTCAACGAAGTATCCGAGATTGCAATTCCTCAAACTGAGAAGCACAATGAGGCAGTTGTTTCGTATACTCGACCAAGGCGTACTAGACATCCTATTGACTGATTTAGTACCTAGAATCACCACATTGGAGATTCAATCTCAAAAGGGAAGGTGTTGGCAACCTTGGCCAGTGATGACAGATGACGTATAAAGAATAATCCACAAGTTAGTTTTGTTACTTGTGAAATAATAATAACTAGGAGTTTTGATAAATAAAGATCAAAATTATACAGATATAATAGTCATAATCGAAGAAAGTGAAAAATTCAGTAAAGACGCTAGAAACCATGATCAATCTAACAAGAGGGAAAGCTTGGATGATGAGGCTGACAGAAGTAATTCAAGAGATGAGATTCGTCCTAAAATCAATAAGCTGCAACGTTATGTTGAAACTGGTTACTCAGCAATTGTATTTGAACCAAAAACTTATAAGAAGCAATACAATCAAAAGAGGCGCAGCAATGGAAGTGTGCGATTCGTTGATTAAAAACCGTACTTGGATTGTAGTTAATCCACCCAAAGAACAAAAAGTGATTGATAATCGTTGGGTGTTCAAAATTAAAGAGAATACTGATGGAACGGTCGAACGTTTCAAAGCAAGATTAGTAGTTAGTGGTTTCACACAACTATATGGAGTGGTGGATTATGAGGAAACTTTCAAAAGTTTATATGGGCTTGAACAGGCGTCGCGCTGTTGGAATCAAAAGTTTACGTTATTTATTCGTTAATTTGATTTCACTGTAAGTAGTTTTGATCCATGTGTGTTTATTCGTCGCAATAAAAAGGGATGACCGTTTTGGCTCTTTACCTCGACGATGGAATGATAGTCACGAACAGTGCTGAAGTAATTGATTTAATAATTTCATATTTACAGAAGCAATTCGAAGTAAAAGTGTTCGAAGCGAAATATTACCTTGGTCTTCAAATTGGGAGGTTAATTGACGGTTCAGTTCATATTCATCAAGAATCGTATGCAATGAAGATAATAAAACAATTTAACATGGCTGACAGTAAGACGGTGTCAATACCATTGGATTGTAATCAAAATCTTGATGATTTTGTAAGTGATCAACATGATACAACGTTCGCATATACTGAAGCTGTTGAAAGTCGTATATATTTGTCGGTTGGTACAAGACCCGATATAAGTTATGCAGTTGGTGTCGTTAGTCGATATTTAGAGCGACCGAGTGCAGCAGATGTAAAAGCAGTTAAGCGTATTTTAAGATACATTAAAGGAACAGTAAAGGCAAGTATTCTTTACAAAGCTAGTCAAAATTTTGTTTTTGTTGGTTATAGTCACGTAGATTATGCGGGCGATAGTGAAACAAGAAGATCAACAAGTGGATATGTTTATCTTTTGGGTTTTGGTGTCATCAGTTGGGCGTCAACAAGACAAAAATCAGTATCGACATTGTAAAGACGGAAATTTTGTCCACTAAATTTCCGCTTACATACACTAAAGTTACACAAAGTTCTTAAATTTGACTTAAACAAAAAGAGGAAAAAAATTTAAATAGCAAGTAGTTATTATTTTAAACTTTTATTATTTTTTTTATATAAAAAAAAAAATATATACAAAAAAATATTACACTGAAATATTTAATAAATTACATTGAGATATTTAATTAATTACACTGAAATATTTAATGAATTACACCAAAGAAAATAAAAAAAAAAAAACACCGTACGCTTATAAAGGAACAAAATTTGAACTTTGTTTTCTTAATCTAAGATTTAAGCTGAAAATAAAAAAAAAAAAAGGAAATAAGTAAACATATGAACAAGGTACGTACCTCACATCACAAAGTAGTGAGTAACAAGTGCATTGACCTGCGAACGACGAAAATTTACAGCAATCAACATGAGTCCCGTTAGTCCTGGTAATATATATATTAAGCATCCAAGGATAGACATCATTTAGTTGTAAACTATAACAAGATGAGCGATCTAGAAAAAAAGTTCGAAATTAGTGCAGAAAATGCCGCGTAAAAATATTAAAATTAAACCAGTTAAGGTCACGCGTTAAATACTTGCCTATTCCTGCTGGCAATGATAAGCAGCCAGTTAATGGGGCCGGACGAAGGCACAAGAAGACACCTAATCAACGCGCCAAGGTATCCGGCCAGCATCATGAACGCGTCGTCACCAGCAGCACCGCCATACCACGAGTTACGCCAGAAAATCGCAAACAACTGCCAAAGGCCTATGGTTGGAGGAAAAAAACCTACGGTGTCAAACCCAACCAGGTTACGAACCCGACAACACCACCAAATGCTGCGCCAATATCTCCGGCAAATAATTCAGAAGACGTGCTGGTGTTAGACGGTGATTGGCGTGCCATGGAAAGAGAAATGTCCCAGACGTCGCAACCATGCAGAAAAGAAATTTGTATCACTTGGCCCCCGGAGTTAGAGGAGACAATACGGGACGCTCTGAGCAAACATGCTAAGGGAAAACGCTATTTCCATCTACGCACCGTCAACAACATCGTTTATTTGGTGCGCATAAGTAAACAAGGCCAAGTTTCGGTGCGACGCCTTTGCTAAAAATTAAACAAATTTATTGTTAGAATTTAATAAAGAAATATAATAATAAAATGTTGAATACTTCCCTTTACCAAAGCCGAGTTCTCCTTATTTGTTTTTTATATTTAATAATTTATTGTTATTTTTTTTTAATATTATGTTGCACGTTTTTTTTTATATACACGCGGCTGTCAAAGCGAAATATGACAAGATCAGAAGCACAGCGGCTACACGGCCAAGAATAAAAGCACAGCGGTTTACGCTGCAAAACACAGCAGGTAAACGAACGGAAGAATTTAAAATACGCTAGACGAAAGCTCCGGCGTAGGAGTATTTAAGACAGCGAAATTATGAAGCAGGGCGAGTCTATGAACATTCGTCAAGGTGGTATTACGCCGAAAAATTATAATAATAATTATATGTCTATGAAAACATATATGCAGAAATATATAAGTCCTGCGTTGGTGTTACGACAACGGCCATAATTATATGTCTATGAAACATATATCAGAAATATATAAGTCCTGCGTTGGTGTTACGACAACGGCCATAATTATATGTCTATGAAACATATATATATATCTTCTTTTAATAATACATATCGAGTTGTACAATATCTTTCTTTTTCTAGAATAGATTTGTAATCAAGTTTCCTTTCCATTTTTAAATTGTACAATTAAAGTAACTTACAGAGGAGTAACAGGAGTCGGTCTTAGACAACCGAGGAGGAAATTCGGAAAACCACTGCAAGTGAAGATCTCATCGACAAGTACGATAGGAAATACAACAGGAGCCTGAGCTAAAGAAGATGCACATTTCTTGTTCTTATTGTTATTGAATAAAAATCACATTTTAATTGAAATAACTTTATCATATGTTGGAATAATTATTGGAATATTGTCTTTTAAAGTAAATAAACTATACAATTCAATCTAGTAAACGAACGTTTCCTTTTCTTTCTTTTTTTTTTTTTAAATAAAACACCTACGTCCCGCGAATATAAATTCATTGTAATGACTCTGGACGACGGCTGAGGATACCCCAGCAAAAACTAAATATTTTTGAACGTCACCAAAAAGTGTCGTTACAACATCATCAACGGAGGCGGAGTATATGTCAAGCATTCAAAAAATTAATTTGGTTAAAAGGGTTATTGTCCGAGTTAATAAATAACATAAGCATAGATGTAAGTTTTTGTATGGATAATCAGAGTCTCATACGTTTCGTTAAGAATCCAATATACCACAAAAGAACAAAGCAAATTGATGTATAATACCATTTTATTTTATTTTACTTATTCTGACAGATAAAAACTTATATGTTGTATATATATTCTTTTATATATTGTTGTTGTCATATTGTTAAATAGTTTTGTTTGTTTTTTAATATTATGATTGTTACCACAATAAAAGTAAGTACTCATAAAAACCATTACATCGCCAAATTATTAATATCAATCCTTATTTACACTCACTTTATAATAATGGTAATAAAACTAATGAAATAATCACGGGAAGAATACACGAAATCTTCTCTTTGCATTTTAAAAATTTTAAAATCAGATATACTTAAGGCGAAGTACAGGATATCGCAGAGGAACAATTTCAGGATGAAATCATAATCGACACTCATACAAGAGCTCATAGAAATGTAGAGGAAAATAGGTTGCAAATTTTTTCAACAATAAATTCACTAAATTTGCACAAACGAAGATACTTTCTGGAAAATCAATTGAAGATATAAGACGACCCTTACGCGATGTTCTATTATTCTTTGGGGTACCAAAGCCAGTAGTAATAGATAATAAAAGGTCTCTAAACTTCGATTCGGTTTTATGATGAAAAATGAAGAATTAGGAATTCAAGTGTTCACCAACCTATAAGAGCTTAGTCAACGGTAAGGTTGAATGGTTCCATTCTATCTTAACTGAAATTATGAGATGTCTTAAGGAAAGTGAAACTCACCGAAATTTTTAAGAACTTTTAGAAAGAGCAGTAAACTCTTATGCTCTAGTCCACAAGAAAACAAGAAAAAATGACCTTCAGAAGCTCGTAGAAAAACAAAAGGAAGATATTGAGTATCAAAGTAAAAGTAAAACAAGATTGAAATTGTAGATAGTTCAAGATCATAGAAATATAAATAGTTCATAAAAACATTATCCGCAATTAAGTTCTTAATTGCACTTTTCAAAATACTTCCGATCTTAATTATGATGAAGGTAAGAGTAGTCGATATTAATAGAAATAAGTTTGAAAATACTGATTTATAATTTAACTAGTTGGTAACAAGTTTCAGAATCACACTAGGAATAAGGATAACAAAATATATAAAAGCATTATACATATTCCCAAACTCTCTAATCAAATATTGACATCTAATATTCGTGATCAATAAATGAATTCCAACTTAAAAACAAACGTATGTGACCAAGTATATGTTGAACCGATCAAAAATAAATTAAAAACTAGATTAGCTGCTCATAAACACAGCATAAAAAATAAGGTCAGTGTGGAAGCCAAAACAGCCCTTGCTTCACATTTTATTTCTACACACCATGAGCCGGACTTATAAAATGTGAAAGTTCTACACCAAGAAAATAATCATCGTAAACAATACTCCTTGAAGATGCTCGCAATTTTAAAAATTCCACCTAACACAAGGCCCAATTTTAAAACTGATGTTGAAAACTGTGCCCAGATGTATAAAAGTATTATACACCAATAAACAAGTACAGGATTAATAATTTAGTATTAAACATTTGTATTATATAAAAAAACATTGTCTTTTCCTTTACATACATTTACATACGAATCTATATATAATTACGCTAACATAAAAGTGTGTTACCCCCTTTTAACTGTGTTGCCGTTGACATATATGGATAAAATTTATACCGTTAAACAGGTAAAGACGTGCAGAAGAACACAATGTTATTTTTTCGCATGTACGTTAACGGAAACACAGGTAAAAATGCGTTGGCGTAAATTTAGCGACTACAACAACAAAATACATGTGTTTTTCAAAGTTTTTTTTTGTGACCAATTGTGTATTGTTTACGGTGGATTTGTGTGTGCGATTTTTTTCCACTTTTAGAAAAAAGTGGACTTTGTGTGTTTGGACTTTGTGTGTTTGGACTTTGTGGATTCTGTTACAATCAGATTTTTAATGCTCATTAAATTTCAAATATTGTTTGTGAATAAAAAAAACGCATTGAAGTGGAAATATCCTTTGATATCAATCGTTTTATTTGCATTGTGTGATAGTTAAATTTTAATTGTGATAAATTTTAATTTTGATAAATTTTAATTGTGATATATTTTAATTGTGAAATGTGGATAGTTAAGGTTAATGAGTTTGAAATTTTTAGATTAATTTCAAGTGTATTGTGTGATAGTTAAATTTTAATTGTGATGATTTTTAATTGTGAATTGTGTGATAGTTAAGGTTAATTAATTGGTTGAATCGACATTAACAACACTTCAATTCGAGAGATATTCATTTTGTACAATGAAAGAACATTATGATAGAGTATGCAATGCACAAAAAGAGATTTGTATGGCAATTACCGTGAATCGTGATACAGATATACGAAGATATAATATTTACGACTGTAGATGGTGAACCACCATTTGAGAGAAATATGATATCTTTTTTAAAAACAAATGGTGTAGTTAAGAATGTATCAGTATTAGATTCTGCTTTGGAACCATTGGCATATCCTTTACTATTCCCAAATGGAGATTTTGGTTGGCACGTTAATATATCGCATAACGTGCAACATAATTCTAATGGTAGGCAGATTCGAAATAAAGTTACAATATATGGATAAATATATGGATAAAATTTATACCGTTAAACAGGTAAAGACGTGCAGAAGAACACAATGTTATTT